TCCATGAGTATCCCAAATTATGTTTTAAAAACAGAATACACCAGATGTTGCCAGGTACCTTTAATTCTTATCCTGACTGAACCAATAGAAAGGTCCAAGCATTCCTGTCTTCAGGTCGATCACTCAGTACATCTGTGGGTCTGGACACGGGTCACTAGCAAGCCCCTCTGCACCGGGGAGTGAGCTATGTCCCTTTAAGAGTCTGAGGTTCTTCCAGAAGCTGAAGGATCCCTTATCCAGAGGGTAAGAAGAAGGAAGCTGCTACCTTACACTGCAATACAATGGTTCTGAAGAAGGGGAATTCTCTAACTACAGGCAGTCCCTGGGTTACAAACTTACCACTCACATACAACCCACAGTTATGAACCAACCCTCGGAAATCCTATTGTATTAAAAATCTGAGGTACAGACAACGATTCAAAATAACCGGCGGACATTATTTGGAACAGGCATCAAAACATTATTATTACTGTTTTAGAATGTTAAAGATGTTTTAGTATCTAAAAGTGTTCCTTTTAACGTTCTTTATGTATGGAAAAGTAAACTATATATTATGTAATAAGAGAGTAACTGATGTTCACCACGAATCACAGCTAACTCTTCCAACTCACATACCAATTCAACTTGAAGACACACTTAAAAATGGAACTTGTTAGTAATCCAGGGACTGTCGATAGCTTTGAACTCTTGTTGTCCCATGATCCTATGATTTCTATTCCTTTGTTACTAAAAAAAAATTACAATTTAGGAGAGTGTGAGCCTAGCAGGAGGAAGGTAGAGGGTCAGGATAAAAGAAAGAGAAGAAAAACCTTAAAAAAGACTTGCAGCAGTTTTTCTCCTTTTTAAGTTTAAGGTTTTAAACTTCATAACTCGTTTTATTTTAAAAAAATTTTTAAACATAAGACATGTAGACACGCGGCCTCTGTAGTGTAATTCAACTAGCTTCAGTCTCTCCATGAATCCACTTCTGTTTGTCTGTACAACCACAAAGTTGATTGTGTTTGTAGTTGGAATTCTGTTATTAAAGTTTTGATTGAACTTTTGATTAGTAAACTGGTGAGGTACTTAAATGGAAACAGAGTCAGAGGAAAACAAAGATCTTGTGCATAAAAAAAACTCAGGGACCTCCAAGTCATTGACTAAAATACAGCCAGCTGGGTAAACTGCCTGGATGAAACCAAAGCCATTACGAATTTAAAAGCTGAAACAGGATAAGGCTATCTCAAGGTTTCCACCAGTCCTGTCACGGTATTTGGCATCATAGAAACACATGAGAGGTATAAGAAAAAGGAAGAAAAGGGACTTGAGAGCCAAACTCAGAGATCTCTCCTTGGGCAAGTTCCTCCAGGGGGATCAGGTTTCTTCTCTCTAGTTTTTGTGGCCCAGGCACCGTACATGTATGGGGTCAATAGCATGGGTTCACTTACTTACTTACTACCCACAACTGGCCACCTGGAAGCATACCAGCCATCTTTTGACTGTGAAGACCAAAATCAGATGCTAAGGAAAGGGAAACAGGGCACCAGAAGGAGCCTGGTACCCTCAGGACTTCTCTGAGGAGCTGCTGTGGCCTAACTACCTCAAACCTTAAGATAAGTCACTAATGTGGCTAAGTAAGAAATTAAAATATAGAAAACAGTCCCCAAATATTAAAACGAAAAAAAGAGTATAATGGAAGGAAAGACCCTATGTATAACAGCAACAATAACTTAAAATGCGCAGGAATAAAGCAAGAAGCTAAGCAAAATCTCTATGAATTAAACTTTAAAATGCTTCAGAGGAACACACAACAAAAGACTTGAACAAACGGGAAGGCCCACATGAAACGGACATGAAGACGCAACAACAGAAACATATCAGTCCTCCCTAAATTAATATATAAGGAGCCCTGGTGATGCAGTAGTTCAAGTGCTTGGCTGGTAACCAAAAGGTTGGTTGGTCAAGCTCATCAGCCCCTCCACAGAAGAAAGCTGAGGCAGTCTGCTTCCATAAAGATTTGTAGCTTTGGAAACCCTGTGTTGTTGTTGTTGTTGTTATGTACCACTGAGTCGGACCCGACTCATAGCGACCCCTCCTTGGGTTGCTGAGGCAGTATCACTACGGAAGTAGATTGCCCAACCTTCCTTCCGAGGAGTGGCTGGTGGGTTTGAACTGCCAGCCTTCTGGTTAGCAGTCAAGTGCCTTAGGCACTATGCTACCAGAGCTCCTGGAAACCCTATGGGGCAGTTCTATTCTGTCCTTTAGGGTTGCTTTGAGTTGGCATCGACTCAATGGCAGTAGGTTTGGTTTGGCTGATTTAAATTAATATACGATTTAATGCAATCCCAACAAAAGTTCCGGCAGGATTTTGGGGATTGGGAAAACTAAGTAATTCTAAAGTTCCTCAAGAAAAAAGGAAACAAGGGGGAGAAAAAACAAACTGGAGGGGAGACAAATAGTCTGTTAGGCACCAAAACACTTCACAGAGGCCAAGTAATGAAGACACAGATACATGAACAGACAGTAAGAGAAACAAGACAGGACAGAAAATTCAGAAAGGAAACCAAATCCATGCAGAAATTTGCCAGGTGCCATTTTAATCAGAGGGGAAAAAAGAATGGGCAACTGCATAGACATCTGGAAAAAACTAAAGCTGTAATCATCCCAAACACCATACACCCAAACAAGTTCAAGATGGATCAGTCATTGAAAAGTATTAAAGGAAAAAAAAAAAGGATGAGAAACATTTTTCAAACACTGTAATGGAGAGGGGCTTCCCAAGTACAGCACAAAACCTATAAGCCATAAAGGAAATGATTTAAACTGATTACATTTTTTTAAAACTTATGAAATAATAATCTCCATAAGCAAAAAAAGCAATAAATTAGAAAAATAACATCTGCAACTCATGACAGACATAGGGCTCATCTTTCCTAATAAACCCACCGCCACTGAGTCGGATGCGACTCATAGTGACCCCTCCTTGGGTTTCCGAGGCGATATCACTACAAAAGTAGATTCCCCAACCTTCCTTCCGAGGAGTGGCTGGTGTGGGTTTGAACCACCAGCCTTCTGGTTAGCAGTCAAATACCTTAGGCACTACGCCACCAGAGATCTCATCAGGCTGGCTCAAAAACCTTCCTCTCATACGGTGCCAGTGGGAATATAAATGGGTGTAACCTTTCTGGAGGGTAATCTGCTGACAGTTGTCAAAATTACAAATAGTTATGGGCTCTGAGCCAATATATTAACTTCTAAGAATTCAATCTACAATTAATTATGTACATAAAGGACATTCACTACAGCAGTTTGTCATAGGAAAATGTAGAAAATCTAAAGGAACAACCTAAGTAGGTGTTCAATTCCAAACCAACACAAACTCACTGCCATGGAGTCCATTCCCACTCACAGCAAACCCCACTGATTCTCCAAGGGTGCAGACCTTTACAGAAGCAGATTGTCTCATCTTTCTTCCATAAAGTGGCTGGTGGGTTTGAACCACTGACCTTTTGGTTAGCAGCCAAATGCCTTAGCCACTACACCACCAGAGTTCCTTTTAGATGCTCAAGAATGATGGAACATCTACACAATGGAACATAATGCCATCTCAAAAGAGTAAGGCAGCTCTATGGCACTGACATGGAACAAACCAAGATAGAAGAAAAAAGCAAGACAAAGAAGAATACAGTGGCTTAAAAACATTTTTAAAACTGCACATCATATACAGCTGTGCTTATATACACAGAACACAGTGTATCTCTATAAGGATATACAAGAATCAGTGCAATAGTGGCTGCCTTTGGTGGGGAAAACTACGCAGCTGGGGCATTAGAAAGTAGGATGGAAACTTCTTTTTCATTATATCCTTATGTACTTTTTGAATTTTGTATCATATCACGCAAAAACTGAACACAGTAATTATAAATGCTAATTTAAAAAATATCAGAGATTATCTTTTCCAGGTTAACACACTGGATATTGCTTCTCTTTGCTCGAATGGCAGGAGCTCTCCGCAGTGTACCTAACCCCAGGAGAACAAAGGGATATGAATGAAGTACCAGAGGACTCAAGATCTCATCCCCACTCAACAGCTCCTAACTCTTCCCTCTGTCCTCACTGCTCATATATCTACTCTCCAACTCACCTGTTGCTTGTGCTCCTCAAGTTCTCTCTGTATGGTTTCTACCACAGCCACAGCCTCTTCCCCGCTTTCCGGGTGATGTTCTCGCACCCAGGCCTGGAACTCTTCAGGCAGGATGGTCAGGAACTGCTCCAGCACCAGGAGCTCCAGGATCTGCTCCTTGGTGTGCAGCTCGGGCCGCAGCCACTCACAGCAGAGCACCCGGAGCTGGCTCAGGGCCTCCCGGGGTCCGGATGCCTCGTGGTACTGGAAGTGCTTGAAACGTTGGTAAAAAGTCTCAAATGTTGGTGGGTTGTATTCCTGCATCCAGGTGCAGTCTTCTTCTTCCACCTTCACTATTAGGAGGTCTTCCTGCTCCTGCGAACTCTGAGCTGGAGGGTCTACGTCTGTAACTTCCCGGGAGTCTGCCATGATCATTCCAACTCAGAATGATCAAATTGGTTTTAAGCTGTTTAAGATCTGGAAGGCACCTTCAGTAGTGTGCAACCTACTGATATATTGAAAATCATTATCAGCAAAGTGAGCTGGCAAAGTGGTCATCTACACTAATTTACTTAAAAATATGAATTGCAAGGCAGCCATCACCCCACCTGTAAAGTGATTACTAATAGAGACTACTTCCAACATTCACAAAATTTTACAGGACAGCCATAAAAATGACATTCGATCCAATCTAAAGAACACTTTTAAGAGGTGAAAACGTTTAAATTTCAGATAAATTATGGAATAAGACTTACTAACTACTCCAGATTCAGCTGCTCCTTCTCTCTACCATAAATTAAACTTAAGTCAGAACAGGGATCAGAGAGGTAACAATAATCAAAACTGGCCCTGTCCTTCAAGCCACAAGAGACTGACATATCAACGGGAGTCTTCATTGGTCCCGAGAAGAAGCAAGGATATACGTAGATTTGGACCTGGATACCTTGGAACCCCAGTCCCGACACAAACTCCCCTCCCTCAGCCCAGCCCCGGGAGCTCTCCTGAAAATCAGGCTCCACGTAGCCCAGGCTGGGAAGCTGGGTCTCTTGTAAACAGAGAGAAAACCAAAGACAACACTTCCCAACACTTCCTCGCCGGAAATAAGCAAGTCCAATCCTGCCCAGACCAACTGGGTCGAGCAATAAATCCCACCCCCCAGAGCACTTCCGAGTCCTCTCTAGGAATCCCGGAGGTCTTGGTCTCGCAGCGGGTGGGAGGCGCCCGCTCAGCTCCGCCCACTCGGGAGGTGTGTTCCAATCAGCGGGGAGGTGGGGAGAGAGACCGGGGGCCCTATCCTACCTCCTCTTCCGTTGTTGGTCCCTGGACCACCGAAGCCACAAGTTCTGCGTCACTGGAGCGCAAAATAAAATTGAGAAAGAAAACAACGCCATTTAAACAGTGCGAATTTCTTCCATTTCCTTGGCGTGGAGGCAGGGGGCGGGGCCTTAGGTGTATGGAATGGGTTGCTGAGACAACAGTTGCTAGTGTCTGATTGGCCGTGGGACTTGCACCTGTCCACCACCCCCCGCCCACCGCAACTCTCTAAGCTCCTATTTAGTAATACGCTTTCTGAAGTGATCTGCAAGCCGGCAACTCTCACCTATCTTTAATTTTTGACCCTTCGGTTTTTCAGCCCAACCCTCTACACTCCCGGTATTCACTCTCGAAACACTCCTACCTCCTTATCACTTACCGCAGTCAATTCCCAGGACCGAAATCTACATCAGACACGCCAGTCCCAGGTTCAGTGGGTCCCAGGACTACATCTCCCAGAAAGCACCGCGCAGGCCAAGCCTACTAGCCAATCCTGCCGCGTGTGTCTTTGCCGTTAATCCTGCGGGCCTATCAGAATGCTGTAGGGCAAACGGAGGCGTGACCTCGGCACTTCTACCAGAAAGATGGGCGGGACGTGAAGCAGGTTGCTCTCTGCTTGGCGAGAATCTGAGCAGAAGCCCCGCATTCATGCTAAACTAGGAGAATTATTTTTGCTGGTCTCCTTTGTTGTTGTTAGAGAGTTCTGGTTTAGTGGTTAAAGCGCTAGGCAAAAAGGTCGACGTCTCGAATCTTCCAGGAATTCCTAGGAGAAAGATGAGGCAGTGTGCTTCCCAAAACCATGCAACCTCGGAAACACTATTCTGTCCTAGAGGCTCGCTATGAGTCGGAGTTGACTCGATGGCAGCGTTTGTTGTTGTAAGATGCCGTGGAGTCGGTTCCAACTCAAAGCCTATGTACAACGGAAGGAAACTCTGCCCGGTCCCGCGCCTTCCTCACAGTTGTTGCCATGCCGGAGCCCACCGTCGCAGCCATTGTGTCAATCCATCTCGTTGGGGGTCTTTCCCTTTTTCACTGATCTCTCCTTCACTAAGCAACTTTACTGACAACTTGACCAAAGTGTCAGCACAAAGTCTGGCCATTCTCACTTCTAAGGAGCTCTGGTGGCCTAGTGCCTAAGGCATTTGACTGCTAACCAGAAGGCTGGAGGCTCAAACCCACCAGCTAGCTAGTCCTCAGATGGAAGGTTGGGCAATCTACTTCTGCAGTGATGCCACCTCAGAAATTCGACTCCATGGCAGTGCTTTTGCTTGTGTTTTAGCCAAGGAGAGTCCCAACCTTAATAATCTCTCATTTTCATATGGTGCTTTACCGTTTTCCAAGCATTTTGCCGTTTACAAAGCTGTTCGACACCAGGATAAGAGTTATTATGGCCACTCTTCTATATATCGCGAAAATGATGTCACGGAAACAAACACTGCGGAATTCCAGCATCTGCAGACAGTTGAGATGGTAATGATAAAGTATAATTCTCTTTTCAGCATGTCTAAAATCATGCATTTTAGGCCACTTCCTGTCTAGGACCAAACACCTGGTAAATGCCTTCTCGTTAGTTGTCTGGAGGCGGCTGGACTCACAGCGACCGAACCTAAAGAGCATGAAACTGTTGCTCAGACCAGTGCCATCTTCACAACCATTGGTACATCTGAGTTGATTATTTTGGCCATTGTGTCATTTCATCTCATTGAAGGTTTCTCTCCTTTTCGGTACACCTGCACTTTACCAACCATGCTGTCCTTTTCTATTGTTTTTCCCTGATGACATGGCCAAAGTGAGCAAGCCAAAGTCTTGTCCTCCTGACTTCTGAGAGCTTTCTGGTCTGATTTCTTCTGAGACTGTTTTGTCCATTCTCATATTTTGTGTGTTAGTGAGTTGGCATTATAGCATTAAAATAAGAAAGAACAATCTATAAGGGGATGGTGACAGAGTCATGAAATTATGGGCTTAATTTTGACATTCTTGTTACATTGATGGAGCCCTCGTGTTATAGTAAGAAGCTCTGGTGGCGTAGTGGGTAAGGTATTTGGCTGCTAACCAAAAGGTTGGTGGTTCGAACCCATCAGCCATTCCCATGGGAGAAAGATAAGGTAGCCTACTTATAAAGATTTACAGCCTTGGAAACCCTATGGGGCAATTCTTCTCTGTCCTATAGAGTTGCCATAAGTTGGAATCGATTTGATGGCAGTGGATTTGGTTTTATTACATTAACTTAGTTGTCCGAATGGGTATCTACTTTTTTTTTTTCCTAGTAAAACCTTCATGTAACTGACTTATAAATGCCATTGTCATTAAATATTTTATTTATTTCTTAAATAGATAATATACTCTGTGATTCAAAATTCGAAAGGGTATACAGAATAGTCTTCCTCCCATCCATTTTCCAACCACCCCATTTCTCTTCCCAGAGATAGCCAAGATGACTAGTTCCTTATGTCTCTAACAAATATATTCCATGGATACTGGAGCAAATGTTATGTTTTATGTGTAAACAGTATCACAATTTATACTCTTTCTCCACCTTACTGTTTTCACTTAATAAATCCTAAGTTTCCTATCAATACATAAAGAGTTCTCTTGTTCTTCCTGTCTTCATGGTATGCTGTTATCTGAGTACATAACACTATATTTCACCCTTAATAGTGGGCATAGACAAGCAGCCTCGATAGCACAGTAATTAAGTGCTTGGCTGCTAACCAAAAGGTCAGTAGTTCAAATCTATCAGCTCTTCCACAGGAGAGAGATGGCAGTCTGCTTCAGTAAAGATTATAGCCTTGAAAACCCATGGAGTGATTCCAAAATGTCATGCAGGGTCACTATGCATCAAATTAATTCAACCTCAGTGAATTTGGTTTGGGTGAGCCTTGAGGTACCTGTGTAATAAAGAAGTCCTGGGAATATTATAGCCATTGGAAACTCTGTGGAGGACAGTTCTACTCTGACACACAGGGCGTCATCATGAGTCAGAATCAACTTGACAGCAAGTTTTGATTTTGTGGGCATTGAGGTTATTTATGTTTGCTGTTTCCACTCTAATAACAAATGCTGCAGTATGTAAATGGTCATGTATATCGTTCATTTTAGACATCTACCAGTATAAGTGTAGGATAAATTCTCAGAAATACTACCTTAATTAGCTAATACATTATGTGACCCAAAGGGTAAGATATATATAGATATATAGATATACACACACACATATATATATATATTTTTATATATATGTATACATATATGCTGTTGTTATGTGCCATCATATATTATATATATGTACTTTTTATATTATAATATATATTAATTCGACTCATAGTGAATATATATATCACATGTTGTTGTTGTTGTTGTTGTTGTTGTTGTTATGTGCCCTCGAGTCGGACCCGACTCACAGAGACCCCTCCTTGGGTTTCCAAGGCAGTATCACTATGGAAGTAGATTGCCCAACCTCCCTTCTGAGGAGTGGCTGGTGGATTTGAACCTCCAGCCTTCTGGTTAGCAGTCAATATATAGTGCCTTAGGCGCTACGCTACCAGAGCTCCTATATATATCACATATATATCATATATTCATTCTTTGATCTCACTAGATAAATGTCCTAGATAATACAATGACATCTAGAGACTATCCTAAGTAATTATGTACAAACGTGTAATGGCATTTTCCTTCTCTCTTCTCTGCCCAGGTTTGTCCAGTCGTGCAAGGCTGCTTACCAACAACTCTAGCTGAGGCAGGTTTTCGTGTCTCACACCCCAGATGATAACACTTGCACCCAAGTTAACAATCTATTTTTATTCTCTGGGGTCCATATATGGAAGACATCACTAGGTAGCCCTCTGATCTTGCTTGAATGTTCCCTCTGTCTTTCACATTTTTAGAAACTCAAATAATTACAGTGGCTCAAGGCCCCACTATAAGTGATATTATTAGTATAGACTGTCTGGCATGGCCCAAGGTGCTGGGTCAACAAAGACACTTTGATCAGACAGGACATTCTAAGAACCTAGAGATCACTTTCTGGAAGCCAAGGACAAAGGCCAATATCACTTAGAGGAAGGTTAAACCTTTCTTATGCATATGTTTTCTGGGCTTCTTTGGTTTTTCATTTATTT